GATATGAATGATACCGGAATGATATGATAGTGGTCGGGGAGAATAGTACGGAGGAGTAAGTGAATCAATTTCAAGATACAAAGATTTGATAAAAAAGGCATGTGATTAGTTGTTTTTAAAATTCTCCATGTTTCGTCTTTCTCGTTGTTCCTCGTTCTCATTGTTTTGTCAAAGAAACTTTCTAAAGCATAGAAATGAATGATACCATAATGATAGGATAGTTGTCAAGGAGAATAGTACGGAGAAGTAAGTGAATCAATTTCAAGAAACAAAGATCTGATAAAAAAAGGTATGAGATTAATTGTTTTATACTGTGAATTAATATTTTTGATTTTTCGATACATAAGTCGTGATATTGTTCATGATACATTGTTAGTTACTACTTTATAAATTAAACAGTTGCATCAGATGTGTTAGATTATTAGATTTGTGTATCATTGTTTGGTAATTCTAAAGTATCAAAGACATGTAAAATTCTTCTTCGTTGTTTTAATGTATCATTGACGATGCGAGTGTAATTATGGTACATAGGTATGAAATGTATCATGTAGTTGTTCTTTATCTGAAACATGTAAAATGTTGAGGACAATATGGTCTGTTGTGATTAGTTATAATAATGTATCTAGCATTTTTTTTTTGGAACGATACATTAAACAATAACAAAATTTTAATGTATCTTGTACAATTGCAACAGTGAACAAGCAGAGAATGATGACTTCTAACATCGCAAAATGAATCAATGGTTGTCTTGTTGAGGCAAGACAACTACCTATATTATGCTTTTTGGAAGAAGCTAGAAGTCTATTTAGTTCTTGAAAGTGCAAAAATCGGGAAATAACATCTTATACAAAGGATACATTTGGGAGGATATTTGAAGAGATTTTGATTATAAACGCATCTAAATGTACAAAAGAATGTCAGGACGACCAAGGAAAGGAAGGAATAAAAATCCAGATGAAAAACTAACCACAAACATGAACTGTTGTGGACGTTCTGGACAAGAAGGTCACAATTAAAGAACTTGTACTTTCTTTCTGAAAGATACTTAATGAATACTTTTTTTAGAGTACTGTGATGTATCAAATTAATAATTTTCAATTTGTAACATTTCTTTTCACTGCTATAGATATATACATTATAAAGTACTTTTAAATTATTAATTTCTAATACAATAAATTGATTTATATCAAACAGTTTTTAACTCTAGCTATAATTTTGATTGATAATTTCTGATATAATAAAGTGAATCTGGTACAAGAAATTATGTTAAGATATACTATTTATATTATGTATGGTTTTGTGTTTGATACAAAAGTGATTGAGAAATGTTGTGTGTAACGTATAATGAAGTGTGAATATTAATGTATCACAAACAAAAGGAATTAAGTTGATACATGTTTAAAATATACATGCAGTGGTTAAATATTAAATGTATTTGTAGCTGCTTAGAACTACATAAAACAATATAATTGCGCATTTATTTGTTAAATATTCTGAATCAAATACTTATTTTGTTGATATTTTTGTTATCATATATGAATTAGGTACTTATTTTTTTTAAATATTTTTGTATCAGATAATGATATAGTATCCAGTGTTATGATGTATAAAATACTTATAATAGACACAATGTAACAAGGTACTAACAATGTAAAAAATTATATTCAAAATAAACAATTTTGTTAAAAAAAACTGTAAAACTTGAGAAAATGTATCTTGAAAAATAATAAACCCTCCAAAATATTAGTTAATGTATCTTAAAAATAATAAACATCAAAATATGTCTGTAAATTGGTACATAATCACTAATCTATATGAACCAAGTCATCTCGTTGTTGTGGAGTGAAATAGCTCTTCAGTTTTGGTGGATCATCGTTATCGCTAACATATCCTACCTTGACCTTGTCGAGACCGTACTTCCATAATAGTGTTGCATATCTTGTGCGAAGAAAGTCAGCTCGAAAACCATTAGATGGATGTTGACTTCATCGCTAGAATTCACCAAAGACAACTACAAACATTCCGCAGTCACTATAAACCTTCTGCAGGTACATTATAAAAATGAATTAAATTTGAACAAAAAAGTTAATTACATGTACATTATAGTAACTATAAAAAATCTTACTGTTTAGTTGATACATAATGATAGTAACTGATACTCAATACCACTTGATGATATTTGTATCTGATACTAAATGAAACATCATATATTCATTATATGTTATTTAAGTATCATGGTTAAACTATTTTATAATATGATACACTATTCTACAAATTACATTCCATCAAAATAATTTCTACTATACAATTTGATACATTAATGACAATATATCGAAAAACAAAAAAAAAATCAAAATTAGGATTTTATGTATAATTTCGTAAGATTTAAAGCAAGATACAAAACAATATGATAATGTATCATTGTTGTCAACGTATCCAATTTTTTTAATACAACTCATCAAGGATGACATGAAATAAAAAAAAAGAACTAGATAATAAAAGACATACCTGGGTAATGAAGATCTGGAAATTGCAGGAGCAACTTTTCAATAGAAGACGACTATAATCTATATTCGGCTGTGAATTATACATAATTTTGTTTTTACCCCATTTATCATCATCATAATCATATATTTGTCTAATATTAGAAAAGTTTAGTTGAGTGATACTAATACTAAAAGAACGATCCAGATCCATATGTATCAGAAAATAAAGAAGAAAATAAATAAATTGAAGAAGACGACCATGGAGGAGACGCCTGTAACTATTGAGTTGTTTGAATTTGATTGACCGGAGAGAGAATCCTTTTGAAAATCAAATTGACATGCAAATTGTAACTGATAAGATTGTGGAGTGAAATTAGGGAGAGATTAAAGGAGTGAAAAAGGGAAGGGAAATCGTGGGTTAAGATTGGGATACCTATGTATCTTGCTCACTTGAGATTTTGGAAAAAATAAGGGATTTTAGAATTTTTTTAAAATAGTAGGGAATAATGAAAAATATAAAAAATAAAAGTGTGTATATAGGTGATTTATCCTATAATTAATCCAAAATAAAATAGGGGGCGACTCAATAGAATGGATGGGCTAAAGCCAAAATTTAGAAAAAGAGATATACATTTAATTGATATTTTTTATACATTTTATTCTCATAAATTCTATAAAAATATTATAATCAATTATAATTTAATAATTGATTTTCCTTTTTCAATTGACAGCATTACCTTTCTTGTAATATTTTGTAGGAAAATAATAAGCATATATAAATTATAGTACGTTACATAACAATACAAATGTTTAAATCTCTTTTATTGATTATAGTTTTGAAAACTTTTTCATTAGAATCAATTATTATATAAACTATCAAGATTATTCTAAACGTATTTAAAAATAAAATTAAGACTTCACTTTATTGAATATATCAATTAGATTATCATTTTTTACTTATATAATATTTCATAATACATTAAAATACAAAAAATCAATATTATAGTGATTGTTATCTTTAGAAGACATTCAAAGTTACAATATTTTTTAAAATTTAATTATTTGTTAATCTAATTAGTTTGAGCTTGAAATGTTTAATAAAACATCTCAAAAGAAATTGAAGACAATCTTACAAAGTCAATATTAAAACATGGTTGATTGAATTTAAATTGAAGTGAATTAGAGAAATTAAGAAATAAAAAGTAACTATAAATTTTGATTATGTAGGATTTTTAATTATAATTACATCAATAATAAAATATGTGCATAATAATTAGTAAGAGATGTCATGGGTGTTCCAGGAAAATGTAGAGGATGCAGCAGTATGCCCTTGTGAGGGCTATCTGTTACAAGGAAGAGATTAGCGTAACAAGTGGTGTTGTCACCCATTTTGTATCCTCTAGTCATTAATTCTGAAGCTCTCACCCTCTGTTTTGACATTTGCTAGTTTTTGTTGGTGTCATCGAGTTATTACGTACACACCGAAATGAAGATTTGTGGTAAAAAATAAATACTTTTCAAATAAATAAATCAATTGCCAGCATAACCTATATGCTTGTGACAGGTTCAGACTATTATGTAATTTAGGTCATCTACATTGACTTTTAAGTAGCAGCTGTAATTTAGTTTGATGAGAAATTCAACTACTAAGGTCCCTGTCTAACAAACAAAATCCAAAAAGTCCATATTGCATGCATTATTAAAAACCTATATAAAGCAACAGACTTGAAGCCAATGCCACATCCGAAACTCTTGCACACCCACATATTCTTTAATCTTCTAAGATTTGCAGAAAAATGGCTCAGCATTACCACTTATCCTCTCTTTTACTACTTGCATTTCTCAATTTATTCTTCATTTATGGCAACATAACTGAAGCGACTGCACGCCACCTTCTAGAGACGCCCTTCCCTGAGATTCCTAAACCAGAACTCCCCAAAGTCCCAGCCTTGCCAAAGCCTGAAATCCCAACTGTGCCGAAGCCTGAGCTTCCAAAACCTGAGATCCCTAATGTTCCAAAGCCTGAGCTACCAACTTTCCCGAAGCCCCAGTTACCAACTTTGCCAAAGCCAAAGATGCCTGAGATTCCAGCAATGCCAAAACTAGAGTTTCCTCCCTTGAAAAAGTCAGAAATTCCAGCAGTGCCAAAGACTGAGGTTCCTCCCACTATGAAAAAGCCTGAAGTTCCAACTTTACCAAAGCCCGAGCTACCGAATGTGCCAAAGCCAGAAATCCCAGAACTACCAAAGCCAAAGGTCCCAGAACTTCCAAAGCCAGAAGTACCAACTATGCCAAAGCCTGAAATCCCAGAATTACCAAAGCCAAAAGCCCCAGAGCTTCCAAAGATAAAAGTCCCAACAATTCCAAAGCCTGAAGTACCAACTATGCCAAAGCCAGAAATCCCAGAACTTCCAAAGCCAAAAGTACCAACTATGCCAAAGCCTGAAATCCCAGAATTACCAAAGCCAAAAGCCCCAGAGCTTCCAAAGATAAAAGTCCCAACAATTCCAAAGCCTGAAGTACCAACTATGCCAAAGCCAGAAATCCCAGAACTTCCAAAGCCAAAAGTACCAACTATGCCAAAGCCTGAAATCCCAGAATTACCAAAGCCAAAAGCCCCAGAGCTTCCAAAGCTAAAAGTCCCAACAATGCCAAAGCCTGAAGCACCAGCTATGCCCAAGACTGAAATCCCAGAACTACCAAAGCCGAAAGTCCCAGAGCTTCCAAAGCTAAAAGTCCCAACAATGCCAAAGCCAGAAATCCCAGAACTACCAAAGCCAAAACTACCAGAACTTCCAAAGCCAGAAGTACCAAAGATGCCAAAGCCTGAAATCCCAGAACTACCAAAGCCTGAAATTCCAGAACTACCTAAACCAACTCTTCCTTCACTTTCTCCACCATACAAACCCGCTACTCCTTGAGTAAATTATATGCTACTTTCACTCAATTAGAAAGTACCCAGCTGATATTTTACGATTTCCATCTCAGTCTATGAAGTTTGCCACCTGAGCTGTGACATGGAGATAGTATTGGATACTTTCTGCTACGAGTTGAAATTGTAATTCTTTTATAGAAGTATTTGAATTGGATGTACTGAGTTTGTCGTGTTATTATACTATATGAATGTTTTATGTATTTTTTCTATATATACAGTGTAATAAAACTTTGATATATGTTACTTTGGTTTATTTCCTATCATTTGCCATCTCTGCTTTTGCTCGATCGTTGTTTGTCCATTCTTTCCCTCACTATTTTTCCTTCCTAATTTATAGTAACCAATTTCTCCATTACATTTCAAGATTATGGAATAAAGGATGAATTAGTATATTTAAGTGCCACAAAATGGAGTGGACTCACATTATTAGTGTAGAACCAAACTGGTGATTAAACTAATTTGCTTTTTGTTTCATTCATCCTAATTAATGCACATTAAATGGATTCAATTACCTCTGTTTCACCTTCTCCAAAAGAATGATAAAAACAATTTATGCTTCATGTATGATCAGTTAGCTGGTGCAACTACACGAGCCACCTTCTGGAGACGCCATTCCCTGAGATCCCTACACCAGAATCCCCAAATATTCCAGCCTTACCAAAGCCTGAAATCCTATATTATACCAATACCTGAAGTATTATCTATTTCCAACGTTCCAAAGCTATATGAATCCGTGGCGTAAGCAACATTTTTTGTAGGCAGCGTACATATTTAAAGGAGAAAACAAAGAATAAATATTGTAGCGACATCATATTAAAAATATTAGTTTATTACTATAATTTGCTTTAACGAGTTTTCATTTTTAAAATGTAATCATGACAGCATTAAAAATAGTGTCTTACGGTGAAAACCCCATCAACCACTTAAAAGATCATTATTCATCTGATTTTACAAGTCAATCTTAATCAACTTCATCACCGAGAAAGCAATACGCCAAGTCTCAAGTAATTGGACCGGGTAGTTTTCAAAATTAGGATTTTACAAGTGGTGAAATAATTGAATCCAAGTAGCGTTTATAGTTATTTATTGTCCCTTTCATACACAAAAGTTGATGTGTTCAAGCAGTAAAACCCAAAAATTTAAAATGAAAGATTGCAGTACTGAGTAACTGTCGAAGTTTATTGGCGAAGTTAGGTGCTTTTGCCAGCGAACCAATTACAGGCAATCTTTGGGAAGTGGTGTCATTTGTTTTTATTAATCCTAAAGCTCAAAAGAAACTCTAAAGTAATAACCTTTCTATTTTGTAGTTTTTGTCGATATCGTTGAGTTATTATGTACACACCACACCAGAATGAAGATTTGCGGTAAAAAGTGAATACTTCTTCACTTTTCAAAGAAATGAAATCAGCTAAGCTAAGAATTTTTATCAGGTTATCAGCATAACCTATATGCAAGTGACAGGTTTAGACTATTTTAAGTAATTTAGGTCATCTAAATTGACTTTTGAAGTACCAGGCTGGAAGCTAATTAGTTTGATGAGAAATTCAACTACTCAGGTCCGTGGCTAACAAACAGAATCCTGAAAGTCCTTGTAATTGCATTCTTGAAAACAATATAAAGCAACAGACTTAAAGCAATGTCACATCCCAATCACATTGAGTCGTACACATTATTCTTCTTTTCGCTTCTACAATCTGCGTAAAAATGGGTCAGCATTACCACGTATCCTCCCTCTTACTACTTGCATTTCTTAATTTATTCTTCATTCATGGCAACATAACTGGTGCGGCTGCACGCCACCTCTTAGAGACACCCGTCCCTGAGATAACTAAACCAGAACTACCGAAAGTTCCAGCCTTACCAAAGCTTGAAATCCCAACTCTGCCGAAGCCTGAGCTTCCAACCATACCAAAGCCTGAGATCCCCGCTGTTCCAAAGCCCGAGCTACCAACTGTCCCGAAGCCTGAGTTACCAACTTTGCCAAAGCCTAAGATGCCAGCTATGCCAAAGCCTGAATTACCGACTTTGCAGAAGCCTGAGATTCCAGTTGTGCCGAAACCCGAGCTTCCTTCTATGCCAAAGCCTGAGATTCCAACAATGCCAAAACTCGAGTTTCCTTCCTTGAAAAAGCCAGAAGTTCCAGCAATGCCAAAGACTGAGCATCCAACTATGAAAAAAGCAGAGATTCCAACTATACAAAAGCCTGAATTACCAACTTTGCCAAAGCCTGAGATCCCAGCTATACCAAAACCCGAGATTCCTACTGTGCCGAAGCCTGAGATTCCAACAATACCAAAACCCGAGTTTCCTCCCTTGAAAAAGCCAGAAATCCCAGCAGCGCCAAAGACTGAGCTTCCTCCAGCTATGCCAAAGCCTGAAATCCCAGAACTACCAAAGCCAAAAGTCCCCGAGCTTCCAAACCTAAAAGTCCCAACTATGCCAAAACCTGAAATTCCAGAACTACCAAAGCCAAAAGTCCCTGAACTTCCAAAGCTAGAAGTACCAACTATGCCAAAGCCTGAAATTCCAGAACTACCAAAGCCAAAAGTTCCCGAGCTTCCAAAGCTAAAAGTCCCAACTATGCCAAAGCCTGAAATCCCAGAACTACCTAAACCAACTCTTCCTTCACTTTCTCCACCGTACAAACCTGCTACTCCATGAGTAATTATGTGCTACTTTCACTCTATTAAAAAGTACCCAACTGATGTTTTGCGATTTCTATCTCAGTCTATGAAGCTTGTGACCTGAACCATGACATAGAGATAGTAATGGACACTTTCTGCTTGGAGTAGAAATAGTAATTCTTCTATAGTAGTGCTTGAATTGGATGTACCATGTTTGACTGTCATTATACTATATGAGTGTTTTATGTACTTGTTATAAATAAGTTATGATCTATGATATTTTGATTTAGTTTGTATCATTGGTAAGCTCTGTTTTTGCTCATTCCTTATCTGTACACTCTTTCCCTCTAGTTTTTTTCTTTCCTAACCAATTTCTTCCATTACATTTCAAGAGTATGGATTAAGGATGAATTAGTATATTTAAGTATAGTACTAAATTGATGATTTAGCTATTTTTGCCTTTTGTTTCGTTTATCCTAATGCATATTAAATGGACTATGTTACCTCTATTTCGTCTGCTCTAAAAGAAAGATGAAAGCAACTTATGCTTGGCCTGTTAGCTGGTGCAACTACTACTTCTATCTAGAGAGGCCATTCCCTGAGATTCCTAAACTAGACCGAATCCTCAAATATTTCGGCCTTGTTGAAGCCTGCACCTCCAACCTTATACTATGCTCAATTTATTTTTAAGCGGTGTCTATATTTAAAGGAGTAAACGAAGAACAAATATTGTAGAGACATCATATTAAAAGATATTAGTTTATTACTATAATTCTCTTCAACAAGTTTTCGTTTTTTTTTAAAGATGTATTCATAATAGTATTATTGTTTTTCAAGGTAAAAACATCAAACAACCATTCAAAAACTCATCATTTGTTCGATTTCAGAAATGATCTTAATCAACATCATCCCTGAGAAAGCAATACGGAAGTCCAAGTAATTGTAGCCAATAGTTTCCAGAATTCAGGTTTTACATGTGGTGATCAAATAATTGAATCCGAATAGGGTTTATAGTCCCTTTCGTACCGCAAAAATTGATGATTTAGTTTAATTTTTCCTTACTAAAGGTAGAAAGTCATACCCATTCAACCAGGCATCACTTTTTTTATCAAGCAGTAAAACTCTAAAATTTTAAAGTGAAAGATTGCAGAACCGTGTGAAGTTTGCTGGCAAAGTTAGGTGCTTTGCCAGTGAACCAACAGGCTACGGGAAGTGGTTTCATTTATTTTTATTTATAATGATACTTTATTTTGCATATATGTCTTTAGTAAAATTCCTGATGAAGATGTCGGAAGCCCTTCATCCTACCTAAATCCGCCCATGTATGCTATTCTTTCAGTATTAACTTTTTTTTATATGAATCTGATATACTATTTTTTCAGTATTAATAACTCTTTTTTTTTTTTTTCATTTCTTGGAGAATTGTATTGACATTTGTGGTATAATGTGAATCCAGGACTTTTCTCTTTTCAAGAAAATGAAATAAGCTACTCTATCTGGTCCAAAATAATGTCGTTAGCTAATTTTACCATTTAAATATTGACAAAGTACCATTTAATTAATGTCATTAGCTAATTTTAGTGGTGTAACACCCCCAAAAAATTCATTTATTTTTGGACAGGAGGGAGTAATAAAGAAAGGATTTCTATCAGGTTGCTAGCATAACCTATGTGTTTGTGAAAAGTTTACACTATTTTGTAATTAGGTCATCTAGATTGACTTTTGAGGTACCAACTAGAAGCTAAGTGGATGAGAAGTTCAACTACACAATCCTTACTTAACAAACAAAATCCAGATGTCCATTTTATAACCTATATATAGCAACAGGCTTAAAGCCAATGCTACATTTGAGTCTATACACATTCTAAGATTTGCAGAAAAATGGCTCAGCATTACCACATATCCTCTCTTTTACTACTTGCATTTCTCAATATATTCTTCATTCATGGCAACATAAGTAGCGCGACTGCACGCCACCTCCTAGAGACGCCCGTTCCTGAGATACCTAAACCAGAACTCCCAAAAGTTCCAGCCTTGCCAAAGTTTGAAATCCCAACTGTGCCGAAGCCTGAGCTTCCAACCATACCAAAGCCTGAGATCCCCGCTGTTCCAAAACCCGAGCTACCAACTTTCCCGAAACCTGAGTTACCAACTTTGTCAAAGCCTAAGATCCCAATTATGCCAAAGCCCGAGATTCCTGCAATGCCAAAACTAGAGTTTCCTCCCTTGAAAAAGTCAGAAATTCCAGCCGTGCCAAAGACTGAGGTTCCTCCCAGTAGCGAAGCTAGGATTTTTAATAAGGGGGTTCAAAATCAAAAGAACTAAACACACGGACTAATCGAAGGGGATTCAATATCTACTATATATACATAAAAAATAATTTTAACCATGTATAAATAGTAATATTTTCAGCCGAAGGGGGTTTGGCCCTAACAGAAGTATGGATTCTGGCCTATTATTTATTGTGATTTTAGTGATCTTTTTACACAAACTCCGTGCCAAAATTAGTAGGTTCGTATGAATCTAGTATTTTGTGCTGCATTTGCCCCTTCATGCTTTGTCACTCGGAAACTCATGATTTGTGCCACCAAAGGTGACTCCATTCCTGAAGCTCAAATTTAAGACATATGATTAAGAATTAATAAATATTTATTCTCTCCACATCTCTACCAGAACGATTGATGATATCTTTGTAGTAGCTACTCTTTCTGTCACTATTGTTCCATACAAAGCCTAATTTTGTCTGCAATCAATATGAGTATAGTGTATAATATGTTCGAAGTTATATTAGACTTTTTATTTCTTTTAACTAGGACGTCTCAAATGTTATCGTATTTTACTAAAAATATTACGTATTATTTTGTAGATAGTTGATCACAACATTTAAGTATTCATATAATGTAATGTTTTTTCCATCAAATTAAATTATTTATATCAAGTTAACATTAAGATGCGATAATCAGTCAAACAATGCTTTAAAAAATATAAGCCTGAGGGAGTTTATATTTTGATTTTAAAAATATTTAGTTAAAGTGTAATGATTTTTTTGTACAGGAAGAATCAACAGTGTCATCATTATCGTGATAGAGTGGTATGCATGTCAAGTTAAACTATATTTGATTAAGATATGTTGTGTCTCTCTTATAATACCCACTTCTTATTTTAATTTGATTTAAAGAGACAAACAACAAATAAAGAAAGGACATAAAATACATTGTAATTGACAATTTAAAGGTGATTAGTAAATATTTAACAAAAGTTTGATTCCTTAATAATCTCATATAAGCTAGTAAATATGAGTATTCCTTTATTTTAGCGATATTCAAGATACTATGATATTGCTATTACAAGACAAATTCTAAATACTATAATATTGGCAGATAAATAGGTCAACTAACGTATCAAATATTGAAATCCTCCTTTTTATATGCTTGTAAAAAGCTATATATAGCTAAATGAAAAACTATTGGAATATCAAAACTTCATTTGCTCTTAACACATGTTACTCTAAGCTTCTTGCATCTGCAGAAAAAATGGCTCAACATTACAAACTGTCCTCCATCTTATTGCTTGCATTTATCTACTTTATACATGACCACATGATTACTACTATAACAGCACGTCGCATTCTACAAACTCCTAGTTTCTCAACGCCCACTACCCCTAGTTTCTCAATGCCTACTACCCCCAGTTTCTCCAAATCCCCCGGTGTTTCAAAGCCTGCTAGCCCAAGTTTCTCCAATTCACCTAGTCTTTCGAAGCCCGAGACTCCTAGTTTCTCAAAATCTGAGACCCTTAGTTTCTCAAAGCCCGAGACACCTAGTTTCTCAACATCTGAGACCCCTAGTTTCTCAAAGCCCGAAACTCCTAGTTTCTCAAAGCCCGAGACACCTAGTTTCTCAAAGCCTGAGATTCCTAGTTTCTCAAAACCCGAAACCCCTAGTTCCCCAAGACTCGAAACTCCTATTTTCATAAAGCCTGAGACCCCTACTTTCTCAAAGCCCGAAACTCCTACATTTTCAAAGCCCAAAACCCCTAGTTTATTAAAGCCCGAGACCCCCAGTTCTCAAAAGCCTGAGACTCCTACTTTTTCAAAGCCCGAGACCCCTATTTTCTCAAAATCGGAGACCCATAGTTTCTCAAAGCCTGAGACTCCTACTTCTCCAAATCCTGAAACTCCTACTTTCTCAAAGCCCGAGACCCCAAGTTCTCCGAAGCCTGAGACTCCCAGTTTCTCAAAGCCCGAGACCTCTAGTTTCTCAAAGCCCGAGACTCCTACTTTCTCAAAGCCTGAGACACCAAGTTCCCCAAAATCTGAGACACCTAGTTTTTCAAAACCTGAGACTCCAACTTTCTCAAAGCCTGAGACTCCGAGTTCCCCAAAGTCTGAGACCCCAACTTTCCCAAAGCCTAAAATCCCAAGTTCTTTAAAACCCGAGACCCCAAGTTCTCCAAATCTTGAGACCCCTAGTTTCTTAAAGCCCGAGACCCCTATCTTTTCCAAGCCCGAAACCCCTAGTTTCTCAAAGCCCGAGATGCCAAGTTCTACAAAACCTGAGACTCCTAGTTTTTCAAAACCTGAGACCCCAACTTTTTCAAAGCCTGAGATGCTGAGTTCCCCAAAGTCCGAGACCCCTGCTTTCTCAAAGCCTGAAATCCCAAATTCTCCAAACCCCGAGACCCCAAGTTTCCCTAAGCCTGTGACTCCTAGTTTTTCAAAGCCCGAAAGCCCTAGTTTCTCAAATCCCGAGACTCCCAACATTTCAAAGCTAGAAACCTCAAGTTTCTCTAAGCCTGAGACTCCAAGTTTCTCAAAGCCTGAGACTCCAAGTTCCTCGAAGCCCGAGGCGCCAAGTTCACCAACCCCCGAGATGCAAAGTTTTACAAAACCCGAGACTCCTAGTTTCTCAAAACCTGAGACTCCAAATTCTCCAAAGCCCGAGACCCCAAGTTTCCCAAAGCCCGAGACCTCTACTTTTTCAAAACCCCAGACCTCCAATTCTCCAAAGTCTGAGACTTCAAGTTCTCCAAAGCCCGAGACCTCTAGTTTCTCAAAGTCAGAGACTCCTAGTTTCTCAAAGCCCGAGATGCCAAGTTCCCCTACGCCTGAGACTCCTAATTTCTCAAAGCCCGAGACTCCAAGTTTTACAAAGACCGAGGCTCCTATTTTTTCAAAACCTGAGACCCCAAGTTCTCCAAAGCCCGAGACTCCAAGTTTCTCGACTCCCGAGACTCCTACTTTCTCAAAGCCCGAGACCCCAAGTTCCTCAAAACCCGAGACCTCAAGTTTCTCAAAGCCCGAGACCCCTAGCTTTTCTAAGCCCGAGACTCCTAGTTTTTTAAATCCCGAGACACCAAGTTCGCCAAATCCCGAGACATCAAGTTCTCCAAAGTTTCCGACTCCTAGTTCCTCAAAGCCCGAGACTCCAAGTTCCCCAAAGACCGAGACTCCAAAATTCCCAAAGCTTGAGACTCCAAGTTCTCCAAAGCCCAATACACCTAATTTCCCAGAGCCCGATACCCCAAGTTTCTCAAAGCCCGAGACCCCAATTTTTCCAAAACCCAAAACTCCTAGTTCCGAAAAGCCTGAGACACCAAATTCTCCAAAGCCTGAGACACCAAATTCTCCAAAGCCTGAGACCCCAAGTTCTCCAAATTTTGAGACTCCTAGTTTTTCAAAACCCGAGACCTCTAATTCCTAGAAGCCCGAGATTCCAACAGCCCCAGAACTCGAGACTCCTAGTGTCTCTATGTTTGAAATACCTAGTGTGACAAAGCGTGACCTACCAACTACCCCAAAACCTGAGATCCCAACTTTTACAAAGCCTGAATTACCAGTTGTTTCAAATCCTGAGATTCCTAGTGTGATAAAGACAGAAAATCCAAAACTTTCTAAACCAACATTGTCAACTTCTCCATGAGTAACTATGGTGTTATTCATGTGTCATGACTTGTGCTGCCTAACAGACGAATTTGATTGCATATGAATGAGTTGACAATGGGTTAGATGCGAATGGATAAAATATTCGACTAGACGGTATTTTATGTGAATAAAAATGGGTTGAATGATGGATGATATTATAATATCCACTTATTATCTACTCATAAATTGTACAAAATTGAAATTAGTTATTAAATAAAGTGAAGCACTTTCTTTTTCTTTAATTTTTTGTTTTGGTAAGCCAACTTACATTGCTTTTCACTTTGTTAGATGTTTATTTTTTCTTAGTCAATATTATTATATTTAGAAGCTATAGTTACTAACTTTTGGTACGAAGTTTTTGGATGCTAAAACGGTAGATGCTAAAATTAGAGATCATTGAATTAAACTACAAAAGGTTACATTATATATACTTTATATATTGGTGTTCAGTTACTTTGAAACAAAATAAATAATACGCACATAGTGACAACAAAAACTTGAGGAATTTTATAATGGTAATTACCCACATGATGACTTTATTAATAATTCTCAACTAATATCCGAATAATAGAAATAACTTAAAGATCATTGCAATATTTTTGAACATAAATGCAGAGATTCGACATTAGCACATATCTCAAAAGGCTATGATGAGTTATTGCAAATATCGTATTTTTTGATCAATTTTATCTTCTAATGCACGTGTGTTTTCTGATGGTAACATTTTTTTCTTTATATAATGTCTTCTCAATATTGCATGATCTATTAAAAAATAATTGTGCATCATTTTTTTCCTATTCTTGTGTACACAAAGAATTGAATATTTTAACTTCACAGCATACACTATACTATTATGTAAAATGATTAAAGATTTGTTGACATTTCAGCACTGTAATTGTCACATTAAAGCACATATTATGCACATTTTGGGACTCCAAAACTTCACTACAAAAAATCTCCACAATTCAACGTATTTTCAAAAAATTCATCAGCACTCTAAATTTCACTATAAATTTTTTTGGTGTACTCATTTACTATGTTTATAAAAAGAAGTTTCTAACATGTAATTTTGTTAGAGTACACCTCTTCAAGCTGTCAATGCCAAGATTAATGTTTTGGTAATTACCTTCCAAATGACTCATTGAGTGTTTAAATTTCTTGAAACTAAATGCACAATGCAAGTTAATATTTAAGACGATAAATTGCATATTCTTTTCATGTTGTAGTTATTATGAGTAGCAAGTAAATTTATTTCAAATTCATTCTAAAAGTAACAACTTATTATTATGTTAAAAATTAATGCAATAACTAAAACAAATGTTAACACATTATTTGGCTACTCTTCCTTCTCAGTTTTTCTTTTATAATTTATAGTAATAGTAACCACTTTCTTCCATCACACTTCAAGAGTATGATTTAAAGGATGAATTAGCATATGTTGAAGTGCCGGTTGAATATTTTGTTCCATAAATACACCTCAATAGAGTGTTGTGTTTGTTAACTGATTGATACCATTTTTTTCAACTCTCTAAAAATGTGATAAATCTTTCGAGTGTAGTTATATTATTCTTATGCCATTTCTGTGGATTGTACTAGTCTTTTTGGCTTATTATTTATTGTGATTTTAGTGATCTTTTAACACATGAACTCCACAACAAAATTACTAAGTTCAGATCTAGTTTTTCATGTTGCATTTGCCCCTGCCTTCTTTGTCACCCTGAAACTCATGATTTGTGCCACCAAAGGTGACTCCACTTCCAAAGCTTGAATTTAAGAAATCTGATCAAGGATTAATAAGTATGTATTCCCCTCCATGTCTCTACCACGATGATATATTGATGATCGATATCTTGTTGGTAGCTAGTCTTTCTATCACTATTGTTCCATACAAAGTCTAATTTTGTCTGCAATCAATATAAGTATTGTTTATTTGTTCCAAGTTATAATCAACTTTTTATTTCTTTTAACTGGGCGTCCCAATACTCCCAAATGTTATCATATTTTACTAAAATATGGAGTATTATTTTATCGATAGTTGATTACAACTTTTAAGTATATTCATATAATGTAATGTTTTCTCCATCAAATTAAATTATCAATAATTATTTTAATATTTCTAGTAATAATATAAATACTTAAATCAAGTCAACATCAAGACGCGATATTCAATCAAATAATGTCTTATAAAATAGGACCAAGGAAGTTTATATGTTGAATTTTAAAGATATTTAGTGAAAAGTGTAATGATTTTAGTTATTACAAGGAGAAATCAACATTGTCATTCTTATCGTGATAGAGTGATATGCATGTAAAGTTCAATTATGTTTGATTAAAATATGATGTGTCTCTCTTATACCCACTTTTATTTTAATTTTATCCTAAAAGAAAAGCTAGAAATAAAGAAATTACATAATTAAAAGACATTGTGATTGATAATTTAAAGGTGATTAGTAAATAGTTTAACAATTGTTTGCTTCCTTAATAATCTCAAATAAGCTAGTAAATCTGAGCATTCCTTTATTGTAGTGATATTCAAGATACTATAATATTGCTATCATAATACAAATTCTAGATACTATAATATTGACAGATAAATAGGACAACCAACGTATCAAATATTGAAATCCTCCATTTTACATGCCTTTAAAAATCTATATATAGCTAAATGAAAACCAATTAAAATATAAAAAAATTATTTTCTCTTACCACATTTTTCTCTAAGCTTCTTGCATCAGCAGAAAAATGGCTCGGCATTACAACTTGTCCTCCATCTTATTGTTTGCGTTTATCTACTTTATGCATGATGACATAATAACTACTATAACGGCACGTCGCCTTCTTCAGACCCCTAGTTTCTCAGCACCCGCTACTCCTAGTTTTTCAACGTCCGTTGTCCCAAGTTTCTCAACGTCCACTACCCCCAGTTTCTCAATGCCTGCTACCCCAAGTTTCTCTAATTCCCCCAGTCTTTCAAAGCCTGAGAACCCTAGTTTCTCAAAACCTGAAACACCTAGTTTCTCGAAGCCTGAAACTCCTAGTTTCTCAAAGCCTGAGACACCTAGTTTCTCAAAGCCCAAAATTCCTAGTTTTTCAAAACCCAAGACCCCTAGTTTCTCAACGCCCACTACCCCTAGTTTCTCAACGCCCGCTACCCCAAGTTTCTCCAATTCCCCTAGTCTTTCAAAGCCTAAGACCCCTAGTCTTTCTAAGCCTGAGACCCCTAGTTTTTCAAAATCTGAAACACATAGTTTCTCAAAGCCTGAAACTCCTAGTTTCTCAAAGCCAGAAACTCCTACTTTCTCAAAGCCAGAAACTTCTACTTTCTCAAAGTCTGAAACCCCTAGTTTCTCAAAGCCAGAAACTCCTAGTTTCTCAAAGTCTGAAACTCCAATTTTTTAAAACCTTAAACCCCTAGTTTCTCAAAACCAGAGACCCTTACTTTTTCAAAGCCCGAGACCCCTAGTTTCTCAAAACCTGAGAGTCCTAGTTTCTCAAAGCCCGAGACTCCTAGTTTCTCAAAGCCTGATACCTCTAGTTCTCCAAAGCTCGAGACTCCAAGTTTCTCTATGCCCAAGACCCCTGGTTCACAAAAGTTCGAGACTCATACCTTCTCAAAGCCTGAAAACCCTAGTGTTTCAAAGCCCGAGACTCCTACATTCTCAAAGCATGTGACTCCTACTTCCTCAAAGCCCGAGACCCCTACTTTATCAAAGCCTGAGACTCCTACTTTCTCAAAGCCTGAGACCCTAAGTTTCTCAATACTCGAGACCGCTAGTTCTACAAAACCCGAGATTTCTAGTTTTTCAAAGCCTGAGACTCCTAATTCCCCAAAGCCAGAGACCCCTAATTCTCCAAAGCTCGAGACCCCTAGTTTTTCAAAGCCTGAAACCCCTACTTTCTCAAAGCCTGAGACTCCTACTTTCTCAAATCCTGAAATTCCAAAACCTTCTAAACAAACATTGTCAACTTCTCCCTGAGTAACTATGGAGTTATTCATGTGTCATGACTTGTGCCGGCTAACAAAGGATTATATCGCATATGAATGAGTTGAAAATGGGTTAGATGCAAATGGATAAATATTTGACTTGTCGGTATTTTATGTGAATAAAAATGAGTTGAATGATGGATGATTTTAGTATCCACATATTATCTACTCATAAATTGTACAAAAATGAAATTTGCTATCAAATAAAGTGAAGTACACTTTCTTTTTCTGTAATTTTATTTTTTGATAAGCCAACTTACATTGTTTTTCAGATGTTTGTTTTTTCTTAGTCAACATATCTAGAAATTATAGTTTCTAACTTTTGGTACGAAGTTCTTGGATGCTAAAATTAGAGATCTTTGAATTAAAAAAAAAAATCTCCACAATTCAGCATATTTTCGATAAATTCATCAGCACTATAAATTCGATGTATAGCATGTTTTATCTGTCATTATACTATATAAGTGTTACATGTATATTCTATATATACAGTGTAGTAAAGCTATGATTGAGCTATTTTACTATATATCATTGGCCGGACATGATCTCTGTTTCTGCTAAATCGTCGTTGTTTATCGATCAACTGAACCATTTTTTCCCATCACATTTCGAAAGCATGGAAATGATGAATTAAGTGTTGCGCTGGTTGAATAATACTTTAATTTGGACAATGATAGAAATTGCAGAGAACGTTCTTCCATTGCAACATTCACAAATCATAAGTTTCAAAATATCATCTCATTTTCACTAATCAAATTTGATAGTTTTCATCAGTGAAAAGTTTTAAAGAGAAAATGTTTGTCATGACTAAAAAAAAGGTTTAAACGTAGAATGGGTCAATTTAAAACAAAGGATTTGTCTAGTTTACTTTCTTTTTTTAAAAAAAAAAAACTAAAATATCTCAACAAACTAAATAAAAACTTAAATTCAAATTCATTCTAAAAGTAGAAATTTATTATGTTAAAAATCACTGCAATAACTAAAACAAATGTTAAACATTGTTTGGCTACTCTTCCCTGTCGGCTTTTAATTTATTATTTATTCATAGTAATGGTAACCACTTTCTTCCATCACATATCAAGAGTGATTTAAAGGATAAATTAGCATATATTAAAAGTGCCGGTTGAATATTTTGTTCCACAAATATGAAATATACCTCAATAGAGTGTTGTGTTTGTTAACTGATTAATATTTTTTTTTTTTAACTCTCTAAAAATGTGATAAATCTTTCAAATTTGAGCGTCCAATTTTCTTAATATATGAATTTACAATGTAGTTATATTTTTCTTATGCCATTTCTGTAGATTATACTAGATTTTTTTCTCATCAGTTGTTGGACATCTATTTTTGTAGATTTATGTTTTGTTGGTTCAATTTTTAAGACTTTTAATATTAAATAAACATATTTGATATGTAAATTAAAAGTATGAGTTCTGACCAATTATTTATTGCGATTCTTTCTTTGAGAGACTGACCTGGAACAGGTAGTGATCTTTTTACATATATACTTCACGACAAAATTACTAGGTTCAGATGAATCTAGTTTTTCATTTTGCATTTGCCCTTGCCTGCTTTGTCACCCTGCAACTCTTGATTTGTGCCACCAAATGTGACTCCATTCCTGAAGCTTGAACTTAAGACATCTAATTAAAGAATAATAAAAAATATTTATTTGTTCCAAGTTATAGTATAACTTTTTATTTCTTTTAACTGGTGTCTCAAACGTTGTCATATTTTATTAAAATATTATTATTTTGTAGATAGTTGATTATAACTTTTAAGTATATTCATATATAATGTAATGTTTTCTCCATCAAATTAAATTATCAATAATTATTTTAATATTTTTAGTAATAATATAAATACTTAAATCAACTTAATATTATGATGTGATATTTAATCATAATGCCTTAAAGAATAAGACTAAGGGAGTTTATATGTTGATTTTAAAGATATTTAGTGAAAAGTGTAATGATTTTAGTTATTACAAGGAGAAATGAACATTGTCATTATTATCGTGATAGAGTGGTATACATTTCAAATTCAAATATGTTTGATTAAGATATGATGTGTCTCTTTTATACCCACTTTTTTTTATTATTATTTATTCAAAGAGAAAAGCTACGAATAAAAAAGGACATAAAAGACATTGTGATTGAAATTTCGGAAGTGATTATAGCTTAACAAATGTTTGCTTCCTTTATTCTAGCAATATTCAAGATACTATACTATTGCTATCACAATACAAATTCTAGATACTATAATATTGGCAGATAAATAGGTCAACTAACGTATCAAATATTGAAATTCTCCCTTTTAGATGCCTTTAAAAATCTATATATAGCTAAATGGAAAATTATTAAAATATCAAAATTTTATTTGCATTGCTCTTACCACATTTTTCTCCAAGCTTGTTGCATTTACCGAAAAATGGCTCAGCATTGTAACTTGTCCTCCATCTTATTGCTTGCATTTATCTATATCATGCATAACCACATGATAATTACTATAACAGCACATCACCTTCTTCAGACTCCTAGTTTCTCAACGTCCGCTACTCCTAGTTTTTCAATGCCCTCTACCCCAAGTTTCTCAACACCCACTACCCCTAGTTTCTCAACGCCTGCTACCCCAAGTTTCTCTAATTCCCCCAGTCTTTCAAAGCCTGAAACCCCTAGTTTTTCAAAACCCGAAACACCTAGTTTTTCAAAGCCCGAAACTCCTAGTTTCTCAAAGCCTGAAATACCTAGTTTCTCAAAATCCGAAACTCCTAATTTCTCAAAATCCGAAACTCCTAGTTTCTCAATTCCCGCTACCCCCAGTTTCTCCACTTCCCCTAGTCTTTCAAAGCCTGAGACCCCTAGTTTTTCAAAGCCCGAAGCTCCTAGTTTTTCAAAGCCCGAAGCTCCTAGTTTCTCAAAGCCCGAAACTCCTAGTTTTTCAAAGCCTGCAACACCTAGATTTTCAAAATCCGAAACTCCTAGTTTCTCAAAACCTGAGACCCCTACTTTTTCAAAGCCTGATACCCCTAGTTTCTCAAAACCTGAGATTCCTAGTTTCTCAAAGCCCGAGACCCCTAGTTCTCCAAAGCTCGAGACTTCTACATTTTCAAAGCCTGAGGCTCCTACTTTCTCAAAGCCTGAGACTCCAAGTTTCTCCAAGCCCGAGACCCTTGGTTCACCAAAGGCCAAGACCCCTACCTCCTCAAAGCCTGAGACCCCTAGTATTTCAAAGCCCGAGACTTCAAGTTTCTCTATGCCCGAGACCCTTGGTTCACCAAAGACCAAGACCCCTACCTTCTCAAAGCCTGAGATCCCAAGTTTCTCAATGCCCGAGACCCCCAGTTCTCCAAAACCCGAGATTCCTATTTTTTCAAAGCCTGAGACTCCTAGTTCCCCAAAGCCAGAGACCCTTAATTCTCCAAAGCTCGAGACCCCTGATATTTCAAAGCCTGAAAGCCCTAGTTTCTCAAAACCTGAGACTTTTACTTTCTCAAAGCCTGAGACACCTAGTTCTCCAAAGCCAGAAACCCCTACTTTCTCAAAGCCTGAGACTCATACTTTCTCAAAGCCCGAGATTTCTAGTTCCCCAAAGCCTGAGACTCCTACTTTCTCAAAACCTGAGACCCCTAGTTTTTCAAAGCCTGAGACCCCAAAGTCTCCAAATTTTGAGACTCTAAGTTCTTCAAAACCTGACACTCCTAGTTTCTAGAAACCTAAGACCCCTACTTTCTTAAAGCCCGAGACCCCAAGTTCCCCAAAGTCTGAGACCCCAAGTTTTCCAAAGCTTGAGACTCCTAGTTCCTTAAATCCTGAGACTCCTAGTTTCTCAAAGCCCGAGACCCCAAGTTCCCGAAAGCCTGAGATGCCAAGTTTAGCGAAGCCTGAGACTCCTAGTTCTGCAAAGCCTGAGACACCAAGTTTCTCAAAGCCTGAGACTCCTACTTTCTCAAAGCCTGAGACTCCAAGTTCCCCCAAGCCCGAGACCCCAAGTTTCCCAAAGCCGAAAATTCCAAGTTCCCCCAAACCTGAGACCCCAAGTTTTCCAAATCCCGAGACTCCTACTTTCTCAAAGCCTGAGACTCCAAGTTCCCCCAAGCCCGAGACCCCAAGTTTCCCAAAGCCGAAAATTCCAAGTTCCCCCAAACCTGAGACCCCAAGTTTTCCAAATCCCGAGACTCCTACTTTCTCAAAGCCTGAGACTCCAAGTTCCCCCAAGCCCGAGACCCCAAGTTTCCCAAAGCCGAAAATTCCAAGTTCCCCCAAACCTGAGACCCCAAGTTTTCCAAATCCCGAGACTCCTACTTTCTCAAAGCCTGAGACTCCAAGTTCCCCCAAGCCCGAGACCCCAAGTTTCCCAAAGCCGAAAATTCCAAGTTCCCCCAAACCTGAGACCCCAAGTTTTCCAAATCCCGAGACTCCTACTTTCTCAAAGCCCGAGTCGTCAAGTTCCTCAAAGCCAGAGACTCCTAGTCTCTCAAAGCCCGAGACTCCAAGTTTCCCAAAGCCTGAGATGCCAAGTTCCCCAAAGTTTGAGATCCCAAGTTCTCCAAAGCCCGAGACTCCTACTATCTCAAAGTCGGAGACCCCAAGTTCTCCAAAATCCAAGACGCCAAGTTCCCCAAAGTCCGAGACACGAAGTTCGCCAAAGTCCGAGACTCCAAGTTACCCAAAGCCCGAGAGCCCAAATTCTCCAAAGCCCAAGACTCCAAGTTTCCCAAAGCACGAGACTCCAAGTTCCCCAAAGTCCGAGACTCCAAGTTCTCCAAAGCCCGAGACTCCTAGTTTCTCAAAGCCAGACATACCTAATTTTTCAAAACCCGAGACCTCTAATCTTTCAAAGCCAGAGATTCCAGAAGTCCCAAAACCCGAGATTCCTAGTGTCTCTAAGCCTGAAATACCAAGTGTGCCAAAGCGTGAGCTACCAACTACCCCAAAACCTGAGATCCCAATTTTTACAAAGCCCGAATTACCAGTTGTTTCAAATCTTGAGATTCCAAATGTGATAAAGACAGAAATTCCAAAACTTTCTAAACCAACAGTGTCAAGTTCTCCGTGAGTAACTATGGAATTATATGTGTGTCATGACTTGTGCCGGCTTATGGACGTATTAGATCGCATATGAATGAGTTGAGAATGGGTTAGATGTGAATGGATAAAATATTCGATTTGTCGGTGTTTTATGTGAATAAAAATGGGTTGAATGATGGATTATTTTAGTATCCACATATTATCTACTCAAAAATTGTACAAAACTGAAATTTGCTATCAAATAAAGTAAAGAACTTTCTTTTTCTTCAATTTTTTTTTATAAGCCAGCTTACATTGTTTTCACTCTGTTAGATGTTTGTTTTTTCTTAGTCAACATATCTCGATGCTATAGTTTCTAAGTACGAAGATTTTGGATGCTAAAACTGTAGATGCTAAAATTAAATAATTCTTAACTAATATCCGAATTCCTCTATTGTTATAGCGAATGATTACACCAAATCAATGCAACTTACAATAGGTGAGTGGTTCAATGAAGTAAATTGTCTACTTTCTGCGTTACAAATTGTTTGTCTTGTTTTAACAAATCACGTGATTTCTGTATTCTTTGCTTCAACAGATTTTTTCTCTCTGTTTCTCCCAACATATTTATTTACATACGCTTTGCTTATATGTACAAGTATGGGTACATGATTTTTTTTGGAATGTGTATGTATAATTCTTTCTTATGTTGCTTCGACATTGTTCCCATATTGTTCAACAAATACAGTACTGTATAAACTAAAATCTTTTTAGTACAAGAAGTAACTCAGCTTATAATTTCCGTGCTCTAATTAATTCATTAACCACTCACCCAACTGCTACTTTTCTTCTTCCTTACATTATACGTGCTACTATTATTATTCTTTGATAATAATTGAAGACATAATAATCATGAGAGACTAATAAATTTTTGGTGCTATAAAGCTTACTGCATAACTGTTTTTGGATACTTTAATGTGAAATGGAGAATTTGGGAGAAAATAATAGTAAGATACAAATAGTACTACTCTAATTAATTAGCTTGTCCAAGAAATTCGTGAGATGTCCTTATTGTACGTACAACCCTTTTTCAACCAAACAATGTTTAGAAATCATGTAAACGTGAAAATGATCTCGTATGATTACCTATAAATTGAACAAAAGAAAAAGATTTTTTTCAAATCTCTTATGTGTAAAAATGAAAATATGTATAAAAAAACAAAAAACTAAAGTCTAAACATAACATAATTGTATGTATTAGGATCATTCAATTATGTGCATAGCTTGATCCAGTTATAAGATGCAGATAGTGGTTGGTCTACAGTAATTTAACCAAATCCTGTGAAGCAATTGAGCTTTAGAACATGAATAATACTGCTGGAAAGACAACTTTAAAAGTTGTATGAAATTTGATTTATATTCTACCTATTGATGTGGTTGGTGGGACGGTTGAAAACTATTTATGTTTATTATCGAGATGCATCGAGTTCAAACTCTAAAAATAGAAGATTACTTGATATAAAAGGTTACCTAATGTGAATCTGAATTATTCGAACCAGTGAAAAGTTAATTTCTTATTGCGACTGGTGTCACTGTTTTTCATTTTATCTTTTCTTTAGTCTGTTCTGTTCCTTTCTGGACAGCCTTTTGGTTGTTGTTAAAGCCAATTTAATGGCATCAACGCTCATCGAATAATAACAGCTAGCCACATTTAAGAGACCAAAGGATTCATCTCAATAAATTAAAGCTGTATCGATTAAATTCCTACTCCAAATTAAACTACCATCGATACATGTTTAGTTTAGCATTTCGGACTTGTATATTCTCCTTCAATTTACGTGACTCTATTTTTTTTAATCAGTATAAAAAGAATGATTTCTTTTTGAATTTTACCTAGAATCTCATATTAACATAATCAAAATTTAATTTACAATTGTTTTGCAATATTCATTGAGATCAGATTAGATTAATGCGGAGAAAAAATTTAGTTGAATGATTGATTTGTCAGTTGATACTTGATAAAGTATATACTTTTACCAAGTGTCAAGATCACTTATATTTTTTTAATAAATAAACGTAAATCTTAGCATTCCATGTGTATCTATTCCCTCCGTTTCATAATATGACTATTTTTAGCTTGGACATATTCATTAAAAAAATTAATATTTTTATTAATTTATCCTTAATTAAATGTCTTGAAAAAAGAGTAGTTCTTTAACAAAAGCTACTATTTAAATAAGCATAAAATTGGGAGAAAAAAAATAAATATTTTCTTGATTTTGTGATCAAATGGAGGGATCATTACACTGGACAAGAATAATGTGAAGTTCATGTTACATATATAAACAAGTGCTAAAAACAAATTGAAGAAGTGTAAATAAATAAAGGAAGGTAAATAATATGGAAAAAAAATTAAAAAATGAAGATCGGTGTAAGTTGGAGGTTAAACAGCTCTTTTTAATTAATGCTAATAAATAGAAAATACATTGATTGGAGTATGCTTAGTTGGTTAGTTACCTAAACTTCCACGGTGAGGGTTTGATTTCCCACATTGTAATTTGTAATTCTTTTCCCCTATCCCTAATTTTATTTTACTTTTTTTAAAATAAAAAAAACTGACCGGAGAAACACCCCACACATCCACCCTCCCACCCACCAAAAAACAGGTGGTTTTTGACAACCAAAACAAAGGCAATAAATAGGTATCTTACCATATTAGACTCAGTTGTGTGTATTTTTTTAATTCAGATAAAAATTATATCTACATAAGTGTCACGTAGATGTCACTTAAGATAATAATAATGATGAGGACATGAGAGTTAACGGTCAAATAGTTAATATGGTAAGAATAAATATATCAAAAAAATATATCAAATGGCATACATATAACTTTTTCCTAAAAGTATAGAGACAAATATAATCATTTTTCGCATATTATTTGTCCACTTTTTTTCTGTTTACTTGCCTTATAAAAAAAAATTATAAACTAAAAGAGTATTTTATTTTTTTTACTTATTTATTTTTTAAACCATTTTCAATGCAATTTATGTGTCTTATTCAGATAATGAATTTACTCTTTTAACTAAATGTGTACCTGAAAAAGATTAAACAAGACTTTTTTTGTAAGTTTACGTTATTTATGCAGGTGATCTGTTTATACTTCAAAAAGAAATAATTTTAAGGATAAAATAAGATGATTTTGTAAATTACTCATTTGGAACAGATAATTTTAATAATGCAGACAAGTAATGTTAAACTGAGGGAGTAATGATTCGTAGTCAAAGAGAATAATGGAATTGAAACTAATTAAGGAGAGAGGGATTGATATTCTCAACCACATAGGAGGGTGAACAAATTGAATGCTCATTATGTTTCTACTCCCATACATACGTACTAATACTCCCATATTCTATATAAGTTACCCTGCAGACCAAATCAACATTAACAAAAAGAGTATTTTCTTACAACAAAAATGGCTTCTTCATCCAAGATCAATGTCATGATAGCTGTTGTTGTGCTTGTTGTATCAGTAATGTCAATTGGGGAAGCGACAGCAGCTCGGCGTCTTCAGCAAATGGGTGGTTTTCCCTCATTCCCTATGCCTACTAATCCAGGTTTTCCTAGTCCATCAACTGGTGGTGGTTTCCCCTCATTCCCTATGCCTACTACTCCATCAACTGGCTTTGGTGGTTTTCCTACTCCATCAACTGGCTTTGGTGGTGGCCTGCCTAATTTTCCATTTCCCTCATTCCCCAACACTCCAGCTGATCCCAATGTTCCTGCACAAACCACTACTCCTTGAAATGTGACTTCATATCTTCTGATGATGCAATTAACTTCTAATTATGTGTTTCTATTGTTTAAATTAAATTGCTTATATAGTGAAGCAATTGTTGCTTAATGTTTGTTGTTATTTATGTATCTAAGCTTTCAATACTACTACCTTCATTATCATATACTTATGAAAAACATACATAATCTAACCCAACATTTCCAAGTTGAGTCTATTGGGGTTCTGTTTAAGGAAGAAAAACTAATAAAGGCCGTTCAAAACTGTTTTCATTTCACATTCCTCACCCACAATGTCACCTACAATTTTTAAAAATCAATTTAATTTGGATATTGTTAAAAAAAGTGGACTTGCAAAAGGTAGTTCACAGCACTAAATAAATGAGACAATAAGAAGAGGACCACATAACATAAAGTTCCAAGTACCACATAAGAAATAAAATAAAGAATTGAGAATGGATGAGGATCTAATGTAATGTTAATAAATTAAAACTTAGGTCTAAGTCAACCTTTAAAATAAGTTCATGAGGTAAGCAATGGTCAAGAGTCAGAGACAATGTAAAGGGATACACAATATTTCTGACTAGAACTTCATACTTTTAAATTCTTAAGGGTAAATTAGTAAAACTGTTTTTATTAGTAGTGATTTCTTCAATGTAAAAATAAGAATGGACAACTAATATGAGACGGAGAGTATATAAATGTTGCGCACAGAGTAATCATTGTTTCACTTGATCACACTGCGCTACAAATTCACTTGTAAATGTTTTTATTCCAACATGATTTAATGGACCCTGTTAATCATTCCCTTCCTTTATTTTAATACATGTAGCAAATAGGAATATATATATATGAAGATGCCAAAGATCCCAACTTTTAAATAAAAGGATAGAAGATGAAAAACATTAAATTAATCACACAACAGTCTTCATGCCAACAGAAACAAAGTAGAATTAAACAACAAATGGCTCAAACAGGAAAGCCAAAGCCACTGATGACCACTGACCACATGATACATGAAATGAGCAACAATAACAAGAGACTGATAAAGGACAAAGCTAAATCAGGTGTCTTAGATTCAACTCCACCATTGGTGCACTGCAACTCCTTCATCTATTAACTTCCCATACAATGTCAAACATTGCCAATAAGCCCTCTTTTGGCTTCCATTTTCCTCTTCATCATCATCATTATCAACTTCTTCCAATTGGTTTCTGCAGTGCAAGAACAACTCATCTACCAAACATATTGCTTTCTTCTTGATCATTTCCTCCACCACTTCTGCTTCTGCCTTCATCACAACATAGTCCTCTTCCTTCACATTTTTGCTCAACCATTCTGCTGCCCCAACTAAGGCTACTCCATCCCCTGATTGCTCTGACTCTTGGATTTCAACATCCAAGTTGTAAATCTCGAAATCTTGATTATTTGCAGGGTAGCTCCTCTTAAACCATTCTGTTACCCCATTTTTCTCATCAGAAATGAAGACTCTTCGAGGGTAATTCTCAAGAGAATCACCTAACAACTCAGGAAGAAACTTCATCTTCCTTGAAAATGATTTCAGCAATGCCCTTTTTGGCGGTTCGAGCAACACATCCTCTAATCCTTTCAATGCAACTTTCTTAGCCTCAGGTGTGCTTCCACAAACAATGTCCTTTTTCTGTGAATTCAGCTCAGCATTTCGTACCCCAGTTTTCCTAACTCCCACCAAAGTCTTGTCAAATCGTCGAATATACACGATTCTGTAGTTTGCTAGAGCTTTAAGCTCAGCTAAAGGATCATTGGTGAGTTGAGTTATAACAATGCCACCAATCTTGAGCACCCGATCAATGAACTTACTGTTCCATTCAGTCTGAGCAATTGCAAAATCGAATGTCTCATTTGGAATCGAATTCTTGTAATCCATATCCGAATCAAGCACCAAATCAACCACATTGTCATTCAACAATTCCAAATCTTTGACCAAATGATCATTCTCAGAACTCAAAACAAGTCCTTTATGCCCCTTCTTAACAAGGCCTTCATCTGCCAAATCGCGAAAAAGATTATGCAACACATTGAAGTCCCTCCCATCAGAATTCACATAAGAATCGTCAATTACATCGAATGAACCTCTTAGTATGGACCCAATTGACGGCAATATGAAAAGAACCATTGCAAAGAACAAAGACCGTGACATAATCCTTAAAGCCCTCGAATCTGGTAGCTTAATAATCAAAACGGCGTCTTGATTCAACCCAATTTTCAACTCGGGAAAATGATTCCCCTTGATTTCCCCTCTTTTGGGGCAATACCCAAGACCAAAATCCATGCTTTTACAACAAACCGATCGGAAGAGTCTGTAAAAACTGATCGTACCTTGTGCTACAAGAACGGGGGGGGGGGGGGGGGGGGGGGGGGGGGGGGGGGGGGGGGGGGGGGGGGGGGGGGGGGGGGGGGGGGGGGGGGGGGGGGGGGGGGGGGGGGGGGGGGGGGGGGGGGGGGGGGGGGGGGGGGGGGGGGGGGGGGGGGGGGGGGGGGGGGGGGGGGGGGGGGGGGGGGGGGGGGGGGGGGGGGGGGGGGGGGGGGGGGGGGGGGGGGGGGGGGGGGGGGGGGGGGGGGGGGGGGGGGGGGGGGGGGGGGGGGGGGGGGGGGGGGGGGGGGGGGGGGGGGGGGGGGGGGGGGGGGGGGGGGGGGGGGGGGGGGGGGGGGGGGGGGGGGGGGGGGGGGGGGGGGGGGGGGGGGGGGGGGGGGGGGGGGGGGGGGGGGGGGGGGGGGGGGGGGGGGGGGGGGGGGGGGGGGGGGGGGGGGGGGAAATCCAGCGACGGAAAAAAAGGTGAATTTAGCGAGTACAAAACCTAGCGGCGGTGTGATTGCCACCCACAAGAGCAACACGGGTAGATTTGATTCTACTCCAAAGGAGCAACAATTGTCTAATTCTAGCAACCTCCATGTTTTTTTCTGTTTGAAGCATTCAATAAAAAGGTCAAGAAAACCCCATGGAAAATTGAGTTTCTAGGTACACCCAGAAATTAAATTAGATGATCTAGAACTCAACTAACATCAACAATTAAGGGGAAAAAATAACCTTTTTTCCTTTTAAGAGAAAAAAAAATGATGAAGAAGAAGAAGACGATGAAGCATAGATCTTGGAAACGGATGGATTTAATACAGCAGTTTTGCATGCGTGTGGGGACTTGAGGGCCGTTACTTTGTTGTTCTGCTAGTTTTTCGTTTTACCTCCTACTTTTTTTTTGTTACCGTGTTTAGAAACTTTACGCCCACAGTAAAATTTTATGGTGTAAAAAAATTTACACGTACAGATGATAAATATATGCTTATTAATTAGTTACGGTCAAATATAAATTATTTGACTGTAAATATTTTTGTTTGATAAGGAGATAATCTTCAATACATGTTCCACCCAGGGTATTTATGCAATAAATTAGGACAAAGCTATTAATTTAATTAAGAGCATAGCATACGTAGAAAACAGGTAGATAATCGTCAACAGACAAAAGTATTTTTCTATATTTTTATCGAACTTGAAGGAAGAACTAGTAATATAGTTGAATTTAAATGAAAATACTCAGAATGTGTATGGTTCTTTTTAGAAAATAGCATATATATATTTTCAAAATCTCCACTTCTAAGTACTTTCTGCTTTCATTTTTACTTTTCTTATATACTAAAAATCAGCACCCATTTTTACTTGTTACTTTAAGTATATTAGGCTAAAAAATATATAGTTATTTTTTATTTATTTTTATATTTTACCCTCAACATTAATTACTTATTTTTCAAATCATTTTCTAAACTTCAGACTATACATCATCAATTAACATATGTATTGTAATAAAATATTCATATTAATCATTGTTTCTTAAAAAATACACAAAATTTAAAATAAATAAATAAAAGTGAACAGTGAGACTCACTGTGAGAGTATGTCTTATATAAGTCCGTTGAAAACATGAGATTTTTTGTTAATTAACATTTGTATGCCACTTTTTTATTTACACCTTTTACAATATTAATTTTTATTTTTTTTTGTTTATATCAATCGCATAAACCTGAATTGAACAAAGAAAGAAAATAAAAAATTGTTCATAGTGAAAAAATTAGCCATAAAAGTTGGGAGTAGTATATTAGGCCATGCAGGCAAAATAGATTATCAATCAATCCCTTCAACAACTACTCTTGCTTTTATGTCTAGACTAGACTAGTAGTTGAGTTTCCCCTTAAAATACGTAAACTCCATCCAAAATACTTTTATTAAGGTGGAGTATTAAAGAAAGAAAAAACATTTAGTAGTATATTACTAGGCCACTTAATTAAACTATGAATTGAAAAATTCCTTCAACATTCTTCTAGAATTAAACTAGAATCAACTAAATTATTGCCTATTTGCTTACTTACCCTCAAATCCCCTAGCTCCATGATTGATTGTTATTATCATTTTTAAGGTTCGTTGTCTAAAAGTGAGTAGGGTGTATTGGTCGATTCGATTTGATTTTATATATTATTATTTTATTATTTTATTATTTTTATATATGTTAAATCAATAAGATATTTTTTATCGATTTTTTGTTTATTAGTTCTTATTGTTGAAGAAGAAGGAGGTTGACGATTGGAACATGTCAAAGGAACAGGTCCAACGAAGCTGACTGACGTGTCTGCAACAAGTGTTGATGAAGAAGAAAGCTGATGATTGGAACAAGTCCAACGAAGCTGACGAGTTTATAGCAATGCTGTAGAATTAGAGTCCCACTAGGATTAGACTACTTATATTAATTAGGATTATATTATGACTATAATTATATTATGATTAGGATTATATTACGACTAGGATTAGATTATTTATAATTGCATTATTATTATTATTATTATAGTAGTAATAGGTATTGTAGTAGGATTCTAAGTATAGTTAACTTGGGACACTACAATTCTCTCCCTATATAAGGAGGTTGCAACTCAACATTATTTTCATCAATACGATCCTTGATTTCTCTAATCCTAGACCTGAGATTTCTACACTTATCATTAATGGTTCGGTTTCGAGTTAACTAATAAAAAAATGTGGCTTCTCCACAATTTAGCGCGATAAGACAATAATGTAATTTAACAGAATCCTCATGAAATAGAAACAACAGTAACTAATATGATAAAATAAAAAAAAACAAAAAAACTATACAAGTGTAACACAAATAAAAGAACTAGGACAATAATTTGAATTGAAGGCATTGAACAAAGGTAGTAACTAATAAGATACTCAAATTAGCATTCAATATTTATATAAAGGTAAAGTAGTAAATTACAGCTATCTTAATGAGTTATCGGTTTATCCAATAATCCAAAATTAAAAAATCAATATCGAACCAATAACCAGATAATTTGTTTTTTTATAAAACCATTAAGAACCCATTAACTCAATAACAAAAACTCAATAACATTTTTTCTATTAAATTTATTGATCGATTCGATTTTTGCTCACGAAATTTTGATCGGAGGTTCGAAATGAAATTGTCTAGGTGCATCTATAGATGATTAAGTAACTTAACGTTAACAAGTGTCGGTGGATCAAGTGTAGGTATCACATGATTGAGGTAAGGTACAAACAAATGGAGCTCACATGACTCTATCTCTGACAGAGATGGTTCAGTCCGTTTTCTATAATCCACCTGGCAAAGACAACAAGGCACATTTCGATTTGGCACTTTCTTATTGAACCAAAAAAAATGGAAACTTTATAACATGACAACTTTCAATTATTTAAACTTGGGGTTCTAACTGGGGAAGGAATATGCTTCTTCAATTATTTGTAAAATGAAATAGAGGTTTAATTATTTGGTTGGTTGGTTTCTATAGTTTCATCTATCGTCAGTTAATTTTTTATTCTAGATTTATCTAAAGTTGGTCATTTTAGTCGAAAGCTGGGCTAACTATATAAATTGTTAACTTTTACACACACACTTTTTATTTGAATTCCAATATAATAGAATATGTAGAAGCATACGATTGATAACTCAAGTGATAAAAATAAATTAACAATAATACACTATCTGATTAATCATTCGATTGGCAAACAGTTTAAGGATCATTATCACTCGATAGCTAAATCTCAACATACATATTATTGATGTCTACATTAAATGCATGTTTTCATTTTACATTATGACCAAATTCATATCTTAAAAAATGTACTTTGTAGAATACTATTCCATCTTTATATAGGCACTTTATAGTAAGCAAATGAAATTTACACATATTCCGAGGATAAGAAAAAAAAAATGTAAAGAATGTTGGAATTGTGTCGTGACACCTAAATCATATTAATCGTTTAAGCACTTCGAAAAAACTGTAATGACGGTTTTAATTTTTTAAACAATAAAAACAATTTCATCGAAAGATAAAATGGAATGTCTTATTCTAAGGGCCGTTTAATCATGCGATATAAAATCATAATATAAAATTATGATATGAAATTATAATATAAAATTATAAGATGAAATTAAAGTTTTATTTGGACATGCGATTTGGAGTTTTTGTGTTATATATTTCTGATAAGTTGTAAAACTATTAATATAGTCCCAATTATTTATTCAATCTTACCAAACAAACAAAAATTTATAAAATCACATAATAAATTATTACAAAGTCATTGTGGTCAGTTGTGTTCACTCTATATAGATGAAAACTAATTTTTTTTATTAAACATTGAAGTAGTAGTAATAAATTTGGTTTAAAAAATAATGAAATTGATGAAATAAATGATAAAGTATGAATTGGTTTAAAGTAATACTAAATATGTTGGTGAGAATAATAAATTTTAAAAAGTAATGATATGATTATAAATTTCATTTACATATGAAATAAATGGCAAGTAGATTTATATGGGGTTATTTTAATAAAATATAAACTTGTGGGTCAATTTTTATATTTTAAAAAAGTCTCAAATCATGATATGGACTTCCCAAAATCATAATTATTTGAAAATATGAGATTCCATCTCATGATTGAAATCAACGTGAAATCACATGTCCAAATGTTAATTTCATCTCATGCTTTTATATCGTGATATGATATCGCATGGTCAAACACCGACTTAATCGGGCAAAAAACATAAGTATACAAAATAAGCACACATGAAATAATATTAATAAAAAGAAAATGAAAACAAATTAGGAGAGAGATTATTATGACCCACGATTTTTTCTCATTTTTTTTTAACCTTCCACAATTAACTCAAATTGTTATACATTCTCTTTCATAAAAAAAAGAAAGTATTTTAACCAAATTAAAACTATGTACCTCCTCTATTATGAAAGTTTG